AGTTACCGAGACTTAACTCCTCTGCTCTCCCGATGTTCCTAAGTTGAGAGTGAATGAATTGGAGATTGTCTGTATAAAATGAGGAAGGAAAGAAGTTCGTTGTCCCGCTTGCAGAAGGGCTCTGTGAAGGACAGTGGTGTTAAAGCTGTGCCGACGTGGTTGCAGTTACTCGATTAACTCCTGGGAATGGAAGTTGTCGTACTGCTTATCGTTTACTTGACTCCGTTTATTTCACCTTCACCGCTGGGCCAGGCTGTTGCTGTCAGTGGTAGCAACCTGTGGATGTGCTCACTCAAGTTTACAGTAGCAGTTTCTTCAGACGATACACTGGCATAATTAGCTACAGGCTTAGGCAACCTTTTACAGAGGCTGGAAATAGCGTTACAGGTGAACAGTGGGTCAAACTCTGTCCCATGGAGGCCACTCGCCGTTGAGCACACTTCTCATGAGGCCGATGCTGAGGCTGATGTGCACCCTTCCTCTCTCATCAGCTCTAATTTCGGTCTTTCTCTTTCGCCTGTCAGTGCGGTATTGGCCATATGTAGCTGAATACCTTCTTCCTTCTGTCTCTCTAAGACCACCTCTTTATAATTCCTCCTGTAATTCACGGTCCATGTGAGACGCTCTCGGCCTGTAGTCATGAGTACACCATTTCATCTCGAAATTGAACCTGGAAGTTGACAAATGGGTCCATAGTTCTCTTAGCTGTTATTTATTTACCGTTTTTGATTATGACAGTAAACGGTGTTGAAATCCCTGGGAGTTCTGCTTCCTGGGGTTATTTTTTCACTTCCTCGCTGAGTTTATCTACTCGGACTTCTTATTTCCTAGGAAGGCGTTAATGGAGATAAAGATGCTCTGGCATGGTTAATAATGAGGGGATGCCACTGGAACAGCATGAGGACTGGCATCTTGTTCATTGGGCTGGGAACAGTGTTGAGGCTAAAGATCTGTGTCTGCACGAGTGTGCGGAATCGGGTACTGCTGGGAGGCAGCGTAGCAGCCTGGTCAGAGCACAGGTCCTGAAGCCATCTGAGCCTCAGCCTGGGTCGGCCCTACCACTGTGGCCTTGGGCTGGGCCCCACCTCTCCTCTCTGTGCCTCCTTCCTGTGAATGGGAACACGGCCGTGCCTGTCTCACAGGGCTGCTATAAGAATAGTTAACGTACATAAAACACGTAGAACCACACACTGCATAAAACAGTGCAATACATGTCTGGTAAATCTAAAAATAACTCATATACTGTTGGTGGGAATGCTTAAGGATCGTCTTTTTGGAAGTTATTTAGGCTTTATTAAAGTTTTAAGTGTATATGCTTTTTTGGTTCTTCTATTCACTTTCTAGATATGTATCTTACAGTAATCTTTCTAACTGTAGAAAAATTAAAAGAAATGATCATATATTCATATTACTGAATACCATCTACTGGTTAAGTGAGGTCAGTTCACTGGTATGTGCAGTACACATACTATGTATGTTCATATACGGACACACAGGAAGGTCTGCAAGGTCTGTGAGGTGAAAAAGCAAGTTGCAGAAGAAGATGCATATTGTGGTTCTGCTTTTCTTTGAATATAAATGTATTTGTTTGTGTACACACTTTATATGTAAATGCATGTTACAGAGGCTGGGACTTCACGTGTGAAAGCGTGGGTAATGGCTACCTGTGGCCTGGAGGGTTAGAGGACAAGCGAGACTTTCCCTCTTGCTGTGTGTTCCCGTGCGGTGTTTGACTTGTCCACACGAAGGATGTGCTCACGTGTTACTCATGTTGTTTGTTTTAAAGTTGCATAAAAAGACAACTGTGCAGTGAAGTAAGAGGCGCTCAGTCTTCTAGGCCAGAGGCGGAGAAAGTGTCAGGAAAGGAGGCGGGCTGTTGTCTGGGTCTGGGCGTGGGCTCTGCTGTGGCTTCGAGCCCCACCAGCCCCAGCACGTATGCAGGCAGCTAAGTCACCACTTCTGTGCCTTAGTGTCTAATCTGTAAAGGGGCCTGCGGGGGTTTGTGTGTCACGTGAGTCAGTGTGTGAGGGGCTCAGGACACGCAGAAGCGTCAGCTGAGCATAGCTCCGTCTTCAGGAAGCAGGGGCTGTCGGCACCGCAGCTCTTGCAGGAAAGCTGAGGGACAGAACCAGGAGTGCCATCTGTGGTGAGGTGGGGTAGCAAGGCCGGGCACTGTGTCTGGGGATTCACATGCTTCTCTTCTACCTTTGCGCATGTACTGTGCAAATCTGCAAAGACAAGAACCCAGGAGTCTCAGTTTTCTCTAACTAGAAAGGGACTGCGTTAAATATAAATACATAATGGTAGATTCAAGTAATGCAAGGTTAGTGTCATTGGTTTACGTTTTAAGTGAGTACACTCAATCTTCTGTAACTATCATTTTATAATTATAGTTGAAAATTTCCTGTGAGAAACAAAGTTCATAATTTTAATGTGTTTAATTATCACACGTACGAGTCTTGCGTCTCATTCACTGTTATTAAACGTAGGAGAGTGGATCTCATAACTAAGACAACAGACTGTACGTTGTTGAGTGCTAGACGAACCTTCCTTCCTGGCTTCTCCTGTACAACCCTTCCCGGTCAGCACATCGTGTTCTTGAATCTTCCCATTCTTGGGCTGTGTCATGGCTAGTCCAGCATTTTGCTTTCATGTGGCTTTTTAAAATAAAAATAAGTGTACCTTTAAATTCTGTTACTCAGTGTATTAGTTTCCTGGGGCTCTCATAATAAAGCACGTCAAACTGGGTGCTTTAAAAGGCAGAAATTTCTTCTCTCACAGTTGTAGAGTCTAGAAGCCTGGAATCAAGGTGTTGGCAGAATTGGTTCCTTCGGAGGCTCTGACGGGGGCTTCTGCTCCGGGCCTCTCTCTCCAGCTTTTGGTGGTGCCAGAGGTCCTTGGCGTTCCATCCCCCTGTCTCTGCCTCCGTGGTCATGTGGCCTTCTCCCTGTGTCGTGTCTCTGCCTCTTTTTCTCTTCGTTTAAGGACACTGGTCTTTGGATTTAGGGCCCACCACGTTCCAATATGACTTCACCTTCACTAATTCCATCTGCAAAGACCCTATTTCCCAAGAGGGTCACATTAACGGTACCTTGGACTAGGACTGGGACATATCTTTTGGTGGACGCACTTCAACCCACAACAGATACTAAGGCTATGATTTCTGACTCGCACATTGGATTTTTCCGAGGACAGTAGCAGAGTGAGGAGTCCTGGCAGCAGAGCAATAACAGGACTCAGTTATTGAGGGCTCTTCTCTAATTTCAGAGCATTGATTCGTTAGGGTCTTTGGAAAAGAAAAAGCCAGGGGAACAATATAGATTCCAGGGTTTGGGGCTCATTTCCAGGTAGTTTCACGTGGGTCTTATTATTTGGGCAGACTTTTCTTTTGTGTCTGGTTAGCTATACCCTTTGTGATTCTTGCAGAATAATTCTATTTCCAAATTCTTTTATGCTTCTTTTTTATTTTTATTTTTTTTGAGATATAATTAACAATGTACTTCTTTTTTAAATACACTAGTTACTTGTTTCAAATGAGATCTCCTTTTGCAAATTTTAACTTTTGTGTTTCCCCATTTATGTTTTTAGGTTCATGATAAGCCTTTATAATATTTTAAAGCCAAACAGCAAATTTCTATTTATAGTTCAACCTTTAGATCCTAAAATTACGTTAAACATTTGTATATTGAAAATTACAGAAACAAATGTGATGTTTACCTAAATTGTGCTTTCTCACTTAGCTCATACTGAAGAATCTTCAGTTAGCAGGGATAAAATCCATGATCTTGGAATATACTAATTTATTTGTTCACTAATTCAGTCAACAGACATTTATTGCTGGACACTACCCAAGGGTGGGACGCAGCAGTGAACAAGAAAACCCGCCTCCCTCAAGGAACATAGACTGTGATGGAGGAGGTGGGGCAGGCAGTCAGATGGCACCTGCTGTGGAGACACGGGTTGGGGGTGCTATTTTTATGGGGTGATGAGCAGTTGTATATTAGAGCCGCCCCGGAGGACAGTGAGGGCAAAAGCCGTGTAGACATCTGCTGGAAGAACATTGGGATGGAGGCAAGAACAAGTGCAGAAGCCCCCAGGGGGCGTGGGCTGGGCTCTGGAGGAGGGGGGAGGAGGAGGTGGGGATGCCCCCAGGGGGACTGGGCTGGGCTCTGGAGGAAAAGAAGGAGGTGGTAGGAATGTCCCCAGGGGCAGTGGGCTGGGCACTGGGGGAGGAGGAGGTGGTGGGAATGTCCCTGGAGCAGTGGGCTGGGCACTGGAGGAGGAGGAGGAGGAGGAGGAGGAGGAGGTCGGGATGCTGGTGTAGAATCAGCTGGAGGTGAGACAGGAGATGGGGCTGGGGTCCAGCCGCAGAGCCCACGGGCGGCAGAGAACTCAGACCGTGGATGTGGTGAACTGTACTTCATCCTCTGACCATGAAGGGTTTTACTGCATGTCTCGCATCCAGATCATCTTCCTAAGAACTTGTCATCCAGAATGGCCCAGCGTAAACCTCATTCCAGGTTCGCACACAGTTGAGCAGGAGCCCACGCAGTGCACATCTGAACCTGAGGCTGGGAGGGCAGAGTCCCTGTCACTTGCGCGCCCTCTGTCATCTATGTGTCACCTGGAGATGTTACTCTCCCTTTTAAGCCATTTTCAGAACTGGGAAGTCTGACCTTGCAGGGAGAGGGAGTGGGAGGGTGAGAGAGTGCATCGACCGGGCAGTCTGTGGTGATCATGTGCAAGAGGAGGGCAGGGTGTTGGAGCAGGGCAATGTCTTCACACTTCTGAGGTGTTTGTAAAATGTCCAGAAACCCAGAGGTAGGATTGATAGACACCGACATCTCATAAACAGGAAGCGAGCGCTCCTTCACGTGCCGGGAGCACAGAATGTGTGGGCAGGTCTGCGTTCAGGAGGTCCCCGGGGTGTGTGCCCTTGTGTGGGTGTCTGTGGTGAGGACGCTGATCTGCTTCTGCTATTCAGACAACTGCCGTTGCAGGCCTACAGATGACAGCAACCAGCCCCCGGGCCGGGGCGTCCTCTCCATGCACGGGCTGACCTACGGGGTCATCCGGGTGGACTCAGAGGAAAAGCTGTCTGTGCTCACCGTACAGGACGTCGGCCTCGTGATGCCCGGAGGTGAGTGTGGGCCAAGCGTGTGCGGGGCGGGAGTACGCTAATCATCCTCACGGTGGGCCCCCAGTGCCCCTGTGCTGGGAGCTCTGACTGAATGCTGAACTCTGGTCTTCTCAAGTCCGCGTTAAGCCTCAAAGGTCTGTGTGCTGCCTCTCCCAGCATGTTCAAGAAGCTGAGGAAGGGCATCTACGTCTCCTTGCACACTGGGACCCGGGGTGCTGTTCCCCCGGGGGCACCATGGCCCTCTCTGCACCCCCCGAAGCCCCTGGGTGGCTTCTCCCCTCCCAGGGTCAGGTTCCCGCTAGTCATCCAGGGGTCGGGCAAAGCCGGGCCCTGAGGCTTGTGGCAGACAGTTTCCAGTGAAAACCGAGGAGCAGAGGTCTGGATAGTCAGTGAAGCTTGTCTTTATCGGCGGAACCCTTTTTCGAAAGTCAGGGAGACCACTTGGCAGTACCTCCCTTCCTCCTCCCCCGCCGTCCCATGCTTGGGCACCTCTGCAACCTCACACAAGACTCCACCAAGTGCAGCGGGAGGGGCGAGCCCCCGTCTCATTTGCAAGATGCCCTCACCTGGTCCTGCCTCTCCTGGGGAGGGGGGTGGTATTGGTGTCCCCTCTCTCAGGACCCATGGCACGTTTAGGCTTCTCCCATCTGGCCCCCTCGATGGAGCGGCTCCCTTTCCTGCAGCAGGTTCCACTCGGAATCTGGACCGTCTCCTCCTGAAGAGCACTCCACGCTCAGGCGTGTGGCCTTGCCTGGTGAGAGGACAGTCGAGTCCACACACAACACTGGGTGACGGGAACGTGGCTTCCTCTCAACCAACAGTGCCCGCGTCCTCATCTTCACGGCCCCTCTGCACTGGGGTGGGAGCTGGCCCAGCTTCCCCAGAGGTCGCCGTGTCTCTGCTTGCACTGTGAGGGGCACAAAAGAGATAAAGCAGACCTCGGCATTCCCCGTCCTCAACACCTCTCTCATTTTGATGTCACCAAAGCGTCTTTCTCTTCCTCCTCTCATCCCTGGAAACACTCTCTTCAGTCACAGAAACTTAAACCTTCGGACCCCTGACATCCTGTATGTCTTCCGCCCACTGCATGCTTCCAGCCTTAGCCAGGCCTCCTGGCTCCATTTCCTTCTTTCTCTAAAATAAAAAAAAATTTACTTTTCAAGTAAGTAACAGATCCTCATGGTTCCAGCCTCAAAGAATTCAGATTGTACAATGAAAACCCTTCTTTCCAACCACCTAGAGGCGACCACACGTGTCCCGCACTTCCTGTCACCTCCGCTCCAGCCTGGGGGTGACTGGAGGTCTTAGGCTCAGCCGTCACTAAATGCACACACACCCCTCGCTGAGAGGCCAGCTACCCTCCTGAATCAGACCTGAGGTTTGCAGGGCGGTGCATGGGGTGTATACACGTCCGAGCGCTCGTGCCACAGACTCGTGAGAATTTACTGTCATTGAATTACATGCCAAAAACGTTCAGTTGTGAAGTTCTCACCAATATTCTCTGAAGGACCCACCTTAACAGGGAGTTTGAGAGCAAAGACGAGTTCCATGGGACGTTGGAGGCTTAAATCCTACTGTCAGCTGAGGGAGCTTGCCTGCGAGGCACTGCACGCTCCTCCCTTTGCCACTTCCCTTGTCCTGCCCGCTGAGCGCATGGTGCTGCTCGCTCGAGTGTGGCAGACGCCCTTGAGGTGGAGTCTAAGTGTCATCCTCACATCCCAATGGCAGAAAGGGTTGCTCCCCTTAAGTATGATTTACAAATTAAAATTAAAGCAATTGGAATTATTTACTGGTGTCACAAGTATGAAATTTGATGTTCTGCTGCAACATGAAAAATCATGACTCGCTTTAGGGAAAATGAGCCCCTGGCTCATTTTATACTGGCAGTTTTGTTCCGTATACTGTTTCTATTCATTTGTGTTCTCATTCGTATTTGTTCTCCGTTCCCCCCTCCCTCCTATTCTCCCTCCCCCTCTCTGCCTCCTTCTGTCCTTCTCCTTCTCTCTCTTCTGTCTGTCTCTCCCTTTCTCTCTTTCTCCCCACCTGTCTCTCCCTCTGTCTGTGTCTCCCTCCCTCTCTCTAATATTATCTGCACTTCCTGTTTGCTCTCAGCCATCACGTGTTCAGTGAAGCCAGACGGGATTCCTCAGCTGTGTAGAACGGATGAAATCGGGGAGCTCTGTGTGTGCGCGATTGCTACGGGCACGTCCTATTACGGCCTCTCGGGCATGACCAAGAACACCTTCGAGGTAGGTTCATGGGGTGAACTCCATCCGATCTCCTCTTCAGACAGCATTGCCAGGTGCATAGAAATAGACGTGCAAGATAAGATGGTAATTTCTCAATAGTAAATGGTTGGACTTTCTCCTGCCATTTTTTTTAATGGTTTTCAATAAATTTGGCTTATCAGCGCTGTTTTCACTTTGTAACCAGTGTCAAAAAAGGGCAAGTACAGTTTCTTAAAAAAGGGCCTTTTTTATATTTGTTCTCATCTTTGCCTGTTAGAGCACCAGCTGACAGGTGGGTAGAAGGAGGAGCGTGCGCAGGTATACACAGCCTCACCAAGGTGGGGGAGCCAAGGGCGTGTGTGAGCATACACACACACACACACACACACACACACACGCAGGCCTCGTGAGTGAGAGGTTAAGGGGTAGACTCAGCAGGCTCGGGAGCACAGCGCTGGCCTCTGCTCTCGGAGTTGCTGTTGTTTTCCCGAGTGATGCCTGCCCTTAGGAGGAGCACACTTTCTGGTGAAGTTTTGCATGAGGAGATAGGAGCTATTGAGGATAAGTTTCTAATGTGCAGACTTTGGGTGAGTTATGATGCCTGTACAGCAGCTTTGTTCAACATGTGTTCAGTCTCTAGAGTATCCCTGACGCTGAGCTGGACACGGTCTGAATGACCCATCTCTTTCTGTCATATCTGCAAGGTTTGAGGAAAACAGAACACATATGATTTACTTTCTTTATATTTTTCTTTTCAGTGTCATTCCAATAAGAAAAAATATTTTAATGAAAACAGATCATTTTACGAGTAATATATGTTATTTAAAATGCACGTTGGTTCCCCATTTATCACTTTGATGCTGTGGTTTTATAAGCAGAAGAATTAATTCGTGTTGATTGGACTATCTCGTGGTGATCTCTGGATATTGCCTCGGAGGAGGCTCTGAAGCTGGGAAGGAAATGCGTGAGGCCCTGCATATGGCCCCAGGGGACCAAGTGTGAGGAGCTGGGAGGTGGGGGCAGGGGGAGGTGCCTTCCGGGTTGCAGGCCATCTGCTAGCAGCAGCTGCCTGGCCCTGGGCTTCTCCAGCAGGGTCAGGTAGGACACACAGCCAGAGAAAAGCAGGCCCAGGTGGACAAGGGGCATCGCTGGGCTTTCAATGCTTCTGTGTCCCCAGGTGTTCCCCGTGACGAGCTCAGGGGCCCCAGTCAGCGAGTACCCGTTCGTGAGGACAGGCCTGCTGGGCTTCGTCGGCCCTGGGGGGCTGGTCTTTGTGGTGGGCAAGATGGATGGGCTCATGGTGGTCAGCGGGCGCAGACACAACGCCGACGACATCGTGGCCACGGCGCTGGCCGTGGAGCCCATGAAGTTCGTCTACCGGGGACGGTGAGTGTGCCCTCTGTGAGTTAAGCACATGGTCTTCTGTAGAGCACACTTTTTATATAATGTTGCATAAATTCCTTAAACTGATGGGACTCAGTGTCCTCTTCTGTAAAATGAAGTAACTGGACTTTGAGATTCCATCTAGTTCTGAATGTTGTGAACTTTATAGGAATTTCCTGAGCCCCATAAATACATTATCATTAACTTCCCCTCTAAGTTTAATAAAAATATCCATTTGAAAAACTTATTTTTAATAACTACACAAAGAGCCAAATATTCACGTTGCTGCGGGTCATTTGGAAAGACCCAAAGAGAACGGTTGAGCAACAAATTTGCGTGGGAAACTCGCTCCTGTGGCTCCTCTCTGTGTTGGGACCCCGCCTGGCTTGACACACAGGAGACGCTGAGTCAGGACCACAGCTCTTGAGTTCTCTGCTAATTTGAAGGAGTCATAAACTGCTTTGGAATGTACTTCAGTTTGGCAAGCTAATGGGAGTCGGAGAAGTAGATACCTGGATGTGGCATTGCCACCCTAGGATTATCTTTAAACCACAAGCTCTTTGTGGAAAGGTCCAAGTTGCCACAGTCCTGTGCTTACCATGAGAGGCAGACAGATCTAGCAGAAAACCATTAGTTCCCAGACGGAAAGTTCTACTCTTTTGGAGAATGACTACTTCACAGGTGCAAACTCCAGATGTGAACTGTATGGCTTTGTAAATTTCAGTAGTTCTGATAATCGCACAGCAGCTCCGTCTGTCAGTACTGAGGTAGGGAACCTGTCCCACAAAGCTGCAGGCAGCCTCAGCGGGAAATGGGCTCTTCCGCCCTCGTGGCCTCGTCAGGTTCTCCCCCTGAAGCTGGGCTCATGTCACCGAGTGTGTGGGAGTCTGAGGCTGCGGTTTGCCTTCTGAGCTCGTGGTTGGCGCTGTGACCTCCTGAGCTCTGTAATCGGTAGCGGTTGTAAAGCTCCCTATTGCAGAACTGATCCTCCCGCCAGCACCTCCAGCGCGTGCTCACTGCGCTTCCTTTCTCTCCCCACAGAATAGCTGTGTTTTCGGTGACTGTCCTGCACGATGAGAGGATAGTGATTGTGGCCGAGCAGAGGCCGGACTCCACAGAGGAGGACAGCTTCCAGTGGATGAGCAGGGTGCTCCAGGTAGCTCTTTGCCTGCCCAGGGTCCCTCTCCCGGTCCCACGTCAGCTTCCTTTAGCGTCCGTTAGGATGTAGCCGACTCTCGTCAACTGTGCTTTTGTGCTCCCTGATCCTCACTCCATTTGATCAGAAATTGCATCCACTGTGAAACTTGTGTTTGCATTCCAGGAAAGTAGCTAAACAGCCCGAGCTTAGGAATCGGGGGTTGCAGAACGGGCTCCCACCATTCACTTGGTGAGGTCACAAGTAAAAGTTTTTGTTACGATCTTGAGAATATATTTTCTTTTCTCTAGATTTCCTTTTTTGGTGTGTGTTGTATGCCACAAGTGCAACTTAAACCTGTTCAGCTTAGTGAGGTTTGGTGAGACAACCCCTCTCTCACCCTGGCATCTCCAGACCAGCAGCACTGCTCATGCTGCATGAGCTCCTGCATGTGGTAGATGATATGTTGCACAGCCTAAATATTTGCTCGGTGTCTGCTCATAATACCTGTTCTAACACAGCACCCCTCTCATCACTTTCCAGGCAATCGACAGCATACATCAAGTTGGTGTTTATTGCCTGGCCTTGGTTCCAGCAAACACCCTCCCCAAAACCCCGCTCGGTGGGATCCATTTGTCAGAAACGAAGCAGCTTTTCCTGGAGGGCTCGCTTCACCCCTGCAACGTCCTCATGTGCCCCCACACTTGTGTTACAAACTTGCCTAAACCTCGACAGAAGCAACCAGGTATGTCTGACGGGCCTGGAGGGTTGTGCAGAGTCTGAGGTTGCTCTCTGGAGCTGTGGGTGCCACGCTCTCCAGGTCTTAGGAACATCGGTGGTTGTTAGCCTTTCTCCCCTGGTCTCCACGGCCAGACGCTCTCGGGGCGGAAGCCTCCTCCTCACAGCAGTGTTTCTCCACCCACGGGGGACAGAGTGCAGCACTGTCCTGGGACACAGCAAAACCTGCTCAGAGCAGGGCGTGTGGAGAACGTTTGAATGGAGAGAGGCATCCGTTTCCTGAGCCCAGTCTTTTCAGTGGGATGTCAGACCCTCCATCCAGCAGGTGGCCTTTGGCAGGGCACAGAACCTCTCAGGATCACAGTGTCCTCAGGCGCAGATGAGAATAATTCTTATTGCGTGTTTCATGTGGCTAATTTAGGAGTCAAAGCAGCTAATGTGGGAAAAAGCACTTTGAAGCATATGAATAATTCCCCAAATTTATTTATGACATTGTTATGATAGTAAACATTTGTGTAGTGCTTTGCAGTTTGGGGAGTACATAATTATCCATGATCTGACTTGATCCTCCCTGCAACTAAATCGATGGTGCTCTTTAGCCTTGTACACGGTTATCAGTGAAAGGGAACTTACTGCAAGAATGTGGATCGAGAAAGCAGCTCCTCTGCCAGTGTAGTAACAGAAGGTCCCGGGCCTCCAGGCTGTGCCGTGCAGACAGACCTCAGAGCGGCCAGAGCTCTGGCTGGGGTGACAGAACAACAGCACGTAGGGCCTTGCACAGGCCGTGTTTCAGTATGTTGTGTACACTTAACTCGTTTCATCCTCATGGAGCCCTGTGACGTGGGCGCTCTCTTGTCTCTGTTTCACAAATGAGGAAAATGTGCCACAGAGGGGTTCAGGAATTGGCCCAAGGCTACGGGGCCAGAGTATGGTAGAGACAGAGGCAGACCCGATGGCCGTTTGCTCCATCCGGTAACATGGCGGGGACAGAGTTGATGGGAAGTCGACTAGAGGTGGTTGGGTCGTCTCTGGGCACAGCTGACTTGGTGGTAAATGCAGGAGCCATCTGGCCCTGAGGTCCACCCCCCGTAAGTGAGACTGGATGAGGTTGGGGGGGTTGGTCCCCTCCAGGTCAGGGTGAGGACACTGAGGCTGCAGGAGAAAAGTGGTTGCCCCACACGTAGAACTGGGACAGAACTTGAATCTAGGTCTCTGGCTCTGTGTCCTGTGCTGCTGTTGCCTCTGCAATGCAGAGACGTTTGTAAGGTGGTCGGAATGCCCCCTGCACGCGGGAGCGTTTTGTTCTCTCCTGGAATAAGCTAATCCTCCTGGAGGGCGGAGGAAGTCGGGTTCTGCTCTCTGGGCGCATTGGGTGTGTCCTTACCACTGCTCTTTCCTTTCTGTCCTATTTCTGTCTTGTTAATTATTTTCTTCTATTCTAGATTTCCATAACCAATGTTCCTCCTCCATTTCTTCTTCCTCTCACCTTCATTTTATTCTCTCAATCCCTGGTTTATACGATTGCTGTAGTAAAATGCAGAGTTATGGTTGACTGAAGTACCCATTTCTTTAAATTCTGGGGCACACCGGCTTCACGTGGCATTCTATGGTGAGCCGCTGAAAAACACAGCGCATTGCCTTTCAGCGAGTATAACAAGAGGATGAGATTTTGTCTAGAAGAATCTCAGACCTAAACAGCCCTGGGAGTGATGTGGTGGTGGCTCTGCCTGGGCGTGTTGTTTGTGTGTGTTGAATTGACGGTGGTGCTAGGGCTCCCAGGTGTCCTCGTGCACAGTTGGAGGAGGCTGGAGCCCCCTCTCCACTTTCGCCTCGGTTCATCATCAGCCGCCCTCCACCCGGTGGCCTGGCCACCAGTGTCTCAGGTACAGAGAAGCTCAAGCGAACCCTGCTGGTCAGCAGTTGGTGACCGCAGAATTCAGGACAAATATTTATGGTGGAGGATCATTTGCTAATGTATGATATGATTCCAGAGCTGCAGGGCTCAGCCTACCTGCCAGAGTTCAGGGAACCCATAACAAGAAAAAGCTGGCCAAGGAGAACGCCAAGGCCCCTGCTCTGAGGTCAGGCAGACAGAGCACCTGAGGACAGCCTTCTTCCTTAGAGGGTGAGCACGCCGAAAGAGGGGTCTGCGAGATCTGGGGCCACTTCAATTCTGCAACACAGGAAGTGAAGCTTTGTGCGGTGGATAATTTTAAAGAAAGAATTTTTTTAATGATATTTGGTGTCACATCTGTTCTTGTTAAATATAGAGAAGTTGTGTGATTCTGTGTCCTCAAAAAGTTGTTTTTTAACAAATGCTAAATGGCAGCTGTGACGTGCCAGTCGACTTCCCTACCTCAGCGATGACCTGCAGCAGCTCACGGGACATCAGAGTGGTGATGTTTCCCCAAGGCACAGTTTCCATAAATGCAGTGTGGGAACTGGACTAGATGATTTCTAAGGCCCCCTGGAATGAACATTTGTGACGCTGAACAAGCATTTATTGGCAGCCAGAGCAGGCATTTAGTGAGGCCATTTCTGTGTAAGGGCATTGCTGGATGCTTGAAACAGAGCCCCTAAATCTAGATAATTTATAGACAACACAATTGTCTTCTTTACTGGATGAATTCATACTTACTCAGCTAACAACACTCCTGTGAGAGTATCTTAACTCTCACAAAAGAACACAAAAGGGTTAAAAGACCTGTAGCCCATCAGCTGGGCTGGCAACAATATTATGAAAGTCATGAAAACAGCTCCCCAGCATCAACATACCCTGGGGTGTATTTCCTCAGAGCAGCTGGAGGAGCCCAGTGGGTGTAGCCACAGCCCCAGCACCTCCTCCAGGGCTCAGCATCTTGCTGCTCTTGGATGAAACTTGTGCCCATGTCCCTGCTGAACTGGTCACGTATTGGCCAGTAGGAATTCGACAGCACTGAGATGAAGTTGCTGACTGGTAGATTTGTAAATCTGTAAGGGGGTGCCTGGGCAGAGAGAGCAAATGTGAACTTCAATGCATATTTCGGGGATCCATCTCAACATTACATTTTCAAATTGTGAGGCAGTGAAGTACTATACGAGTGTTTCGCACGCGCCCACCTCATTCAGCAAGGGGGAGAGTGCCTCAGTTCTCGGTGAAGGACGGATTTTGTAAATAGATGCAGCAGGAAAGCCACTTGTCTCCCAGCAACATTCAGAAAAAATAAATTCTTAGGTCTGTGTGGGGAGAGACACACATAAGGCCCGAGCTCTGCATCCAGAGAACGCCAGCAGAAGTCAGCCTTTAGTAAGGAGAGACCTGACTCAGCAACAGAGAAGCACAAATGAGGGCACTGTGAATATAAACACATATGAACGTATATAAAATAGGGCACTGTGAAAACCCGATATCTCCTCTAATAGTGCTTTCCCTACCCTAGTTTGAATTCTTAAAAAAAATTATGAAGAAGCTTTCAAACCAGTTTAGGCCAGTTTCCAAGTTGGCTTCTTAGTAGAACCGTCCTGCCCAGCCTAAAGCACCCAGAATAACGTCAGGACACTCTATTGATGACACTAAAGACAGGAAACGAATGACCGAAAGCTAGGCTGCAGGCATCGTGGACGGTCGTCTTTGCCACGGCAGCTACCCGGTGTCCCAGCCGCATGGTGGCTCCACTCATCTCCCATGCGCCTCATGGCCTAACTTTCTTTTTGTTTTGTTAAATGTGAAAAGACCTTCCCTCTTTCATAGAGCTGAGAAAATAAATTTTCTTTTAGCTCTTGCTTTATTAAGAGCTAAGAAAAGAAATTTAGTCGGTCCCAGACTACCAAGTGTGAAAATTCAAACATGATTGAGTTGAGTACACAGGGTGTATTCTGTGATTACGTGGAAACTGGCATCAGGGCTCCTACAAATTGCCTAAAACCAAGGACACCAGCAGGCAGGAGCCCAGAAATCTGTGTCATGGGCTGTTCTCCAAATTTCCTTCCTGCCCTGAAGCACCCTGCCTTCTCCCACACAGCTGTGGTAAGTTGGATATTTTATGGCAAGCCAAATTGTGGTCAGCCACACATCTGCAGAGAAGAATGGGCCTGTTCCCACTTGGACAGCCCCCTAAGGGTGTTTGCACTCAACCCCTCGCACTGCTTGTCATTCTGGTGTGTTTCTGCTCAGAAGCCAGGGTGACTGTTGGGGTGGTTGTCATGGCAGCTGTGCATGTTGTAGGCCTTGGTTGATGCCACCACACCCCTGCACCTGAATCTTAAAATTTCTGTCTCTTCAGACACACAGTTCTTCGTATGTGCAGTAAATAATGCAACATATACCCTGATTTATACACGTGTAACTTGACTTTCTCAGAAGTTTAATATGAATTTGACTCAATAGTGGCCTTCAACTTCTATTTTATCAAACCAAGGATTAAACACAAATTGATAACGTCATCTTTGTTATTTTATACTGTGGTTCTTTTAGTAAACATCTTTCACTCTTCCTCACTTCCTCCCCTCCTTCCTCCACCTTCCTCACACTCACACACGTGCACTCACCCACACATGGACTCACACACATGCACACTCACACTGGTGTATTCCCCTGGAACTTCTAATCTTTTAAATGTATATATGTATATATCTTAGTTTATATGTGTGCGTTTAATGGAAATGAAGTGTGAATGATAGTATTTTGAGAAACCTGGAGGGCATCTGGGGTTTTCTGCAGTCAGAAATTTTGAAAGAGTTTCTACAGTCCTTTCAGAAACTTCTTTCTTTCATTAAAAAAGAAAAGCTATCAGATGGGCTGGCCCCATGGCTTAGCGGTTAAGTGCGCGCGCTCCGCTACTGGCGGCCCAGGTTCAGATCCCAGGCGTGCACCAACGCACCGCTTCTCAGGCCATGCTGAGGCCGCGTCCCACATACAGCAACTAGAGGGATGTGCAACTATGACATACAACTATCTACTGGGGCTTTGGGGGAAAAAAGAAAAAGGAGGAGGATTGGCAATAGATGTTAGCTCAGAGCCAGTCTTCCTCAGCAAAAAGAGGAGGAGTAGCATGGATGTTAGCTCAGGGCTGATCTTCCTCACAAAAAAAAAAAAGAAAAGAAAAGCTATCGGAATAGACAGTACCTGCTCTTCTGTTTTGGAATGTTTCGTACACTGGAGGGAGCGTTGGTAGTGGAGTCAGTGATGGGGCTGGAAAAGGCACTGAGAGAGGAGCCTTTGGTTTATTCTTCCACATTTCTGTGGGCCTGACAGAGAACCTAAAGCCTTTCAGTCAATGACATGTGGAGATGAGTGATCTGTGTCCTGTCGCTTCAACAACAGCACTCCCTAAATCCATCCCAGGAGGTGTTGATAACCAGCGTGTGGTGTTTCCTGTACGTTTACGTCGGCTCACAGTGGCGTGTAATGACACCGGGAATGAGGCACACACGATCTTTAACTACTCAGCAAAATACATCATGTTTTAAATTCCTCCTTTGTTTTCTGCATTATTTTTTATAATCACTAACATGAATAGATCTCAGCCTCCCCCTAACTGGAAGACAAAGGCAGCAGGCTTGGGAGAACACTCGGGGAATTTGGTGAAAGCATAATTTCTGTATGCCCTTAATCGAGACTTTATATTTGCCATCATTACCATTGTAGTGACTTCTCTGAAACCCTGTTCTAATCAGTTTTTTTCAAAGCCGGGTCTATGAAAGGATTTCCAGAGTCAGCTCTTTTGCAAGCGGGAGTCGTGTGGTAAGGGTTTCCTCATGTGTGCTTCTTTCCAGAAATCGGTCCCGCTTCTGTGATGGTGGGGAACCTGGTGTCTGGGAAGAGGATTGCGCAGGCCAGCGGCAGAGACCTGGGGCAGATCGAAGACAACGACCAGGCCCGGAAGGTGAGAGCCAAGGGCCAGGCCCAAAGGCTGCGTCACAGATGCACCAATGCTGTCTTCCTGCCCTGCCAGTCCGACATCCACCATTGATCTTTGGTGTCTTTGGTGACCTTTTCTTCCTACCTGCCCTCTTGGTCGTGCATGAGGCATCCATATAGTTTTATAAGGAAAATGTGTTCTTTAGCAGGTGCAGTGTGGTAGAACATTTCACAGAGGCACAGACAGGTGGGTGATACAGCCCATGACTAGCAGGCCTGAGGCCGGTGTCTGGGAATCCCTGTGCTGTCATCACAGCCCCTGAGCACTTGTCTCTGTGATCCCACCAGCCCTGATTTTGACACCCAGACTGCCTCACAGCGACCTTATTGCAAGGCTTCAATCCTTTGATTGTTGGAATTCGAGAAAACATAAGTTCCAACCCAGGTTTGGGAGCCAGACCTCCTTAAAGCAGCCTTAGGAGCTGTAGGAGAAATCCTGGGGCCCCGCTCCACCATAAACATCACACAATTTGTCCCGTGTAGCGACAAATCCCCATGATAACCGTTCAGCCTTGAGAACTCTTACGATTCACCAAAAGGTGGTCCCACTCTGTATGGACCACCAGGATATGTGACAAAAGCAACCATTTAAAATATTGCCAATTTGGTAACACAACTAATATGTTCATTGAAAGCACTTGATCACCATGTTCCCCACCTCAGAGTATATTTCTATTAATAAAACCGATTAGCAGGTCACATGGGTATCTTGTATCCTTACATGAGGTAGGGCTGACCTTTTTACTGTGGACTGAGCCGGTATGTGTGTAGAATCTGTGTGATTTGCCGTGTCGTTGAATAACATCGGGGGATGACCATTCTAAAACCAGCAAATTCAAGAGAGCCCGTTTTTAAAACAGGATAGAACTGATTCTGCCACTGCAGCTCCCAGAAATCACCATTGCGTCTTCTGGAGGCCCCAGAAAAGGGATTTTCTGTATCAGCTGCTCTGTCTACAAGGGGAATGCAGTTCTCCATCCTTGGGCAGATTTCAGAAACTTCCCTAACCAGGGCTCAGCACCGGCCCTCGGACTTGTGAGTCTAAATGAGGTGCAGAGAATCCAAGTCCCCACAGGAGGAACATTGAAGGACTTGCTTATTCTGTCGATTGTGTTTGTCAGGGAAGTCGCACTCCTCTGTGGAGAAGAGTGCTGTTTTAAGGCACCCTAAAATCACTCAGACAAACTGTACCGATTTAAATGTTGAGACTAGCCCAACCCAGACCAGAATGGTCTGAACTTAATGGCTGTGCTTTGTTCCAGTTCCTGTTTCTCTCGGAGGTCCTGCAGTGGAGGGCTCAGACCACCCCCGACCACGTCCTGTACACGCTGCTCAACTGTAGGGTGAGGCACGCTCAACTCGCATCTTGTGGTTGCTCACCTGTGGGGTCCACGCTTTCATGCCTCTGTGTCATAATCCTTTCATATGACAGAAAAGCTGGTCATTGATAGGGAATTGGTGTCAGCTTTCCGGAAAATGGGGAGAAGATCAGTTCCAGAAGTTGAACAACCCAGACCAAGAATGCCGCTGCTTAAGATAAGATGACGTAATGCAGCAGTGGGCAGCAGGGTGGTGACAGGGTCCTGCGCCCCAGGAAGGTCTGCCTCAGCGGGAACTTCCGGAAAGATGAGCCCCTCTGCCAGCCCTGCCCCTGTGGCATCCTGCCACCCACCAGCAACGCAGTGATATCAACAGTTGCACCCCTATCAACAGCAGATAGGGGAGCGTCTATGGGGGCGGGATGGTCCCCATCACCACCGGTTTGGTCCTGGGCCTCTCCCTCAGCTGTGCTGGGGGTCTCTGCTCCATCTTCACTTTGAAGAGCTCACAGGACATTGGGTCAAGGGGCGTGTCTGTTGGTTCATGTGAACAGTTGTGGTCTCCCGCGATGAATGCTCAGAGGAAGGGTCTGGTTTCGAAGGCACCAAGTGCTAACATTTGGGCTAGATTTCTTAGACTCCAGTCTCGTGGATCTTTTTGTGTTTGCCTAGCTTTGCCACATTCTGCTCTCTGGCTCCTCCACTTTATGTATCTGTTTCTATTTTCTTATTTTGTAACCTTCCTCGGAAGGAAAATAATTAAGGAAAATGTGTGCACTGAGAAACCTGTCCTCTGTAGGAGGAACCAGTCTCAGCATGGTGGGAAAGGGGCCAGAGCCTGGCTGGCGACTCCTCTCTTAGAGGCGCTCTAAGACCCTGCATGCTACGTGAAGGTCAAAGAGAAGGTGTTGCTTCCCAGAGCTTGATACAACAATCAGTTACTTGGTGAATGTTTTTGGCAAACATCAGGTGCTGGTATTTATGTCCTGATGCATCCTGAAAAGTTCTCCACTCCCATCGGATCCCTCCCACCCCACCCCGTGCAGATGTTTCTAACAGATGGGTCACTTGGGGTGGGAAGTCTAATGTCCAGTCACCAGACCACCATTGTCCTTTAACTTCCCCAAAGGTTCTGGTCACTTCTGTATCCACACAGTAGTCTCCTCCCCGTGTGATCCGTGCTCACAGTAACTTCCCTTTGGTCTTCTTTCTCCATACATGGCATAGGGGTCTGGGACGCCTACAGGGTCCGTGTCCAGTGCCCGCAGTCTTCTCCTGTTACCCTGCACGCTTCCTCGCCTGCTGTTGAAGCTCCCTCCCTCAGTAAACACATTTGGCCCGAGTATCCGTGAATGTTTTTGACCTTCTGGAGTCTTCCTGACCTGGAAACTGCTGGCCAGTTTGCCTGTTGCTTGAGGAGACTCCTTTACCCTGTTAATCACTTTAAAATACGATTTGATCATAAAGAAGCAGGTTTTAAATAGCTATAGACAGTGATCTCTTCACACCTGGGAATTTGTACAATGTAAAGTGCATCCTTAGGAAAAACTTTTTTGGGTTAGTTGTAAGTTTATAATTTGCAGTTTCTGTGTAATTTTCTTTACCATTTACACAGTAAATCCCATATATTTTGATATTTCTTTGTACCTATTTTGCTACTGATCTTCCCTAGCAACCTTTTTTAAGGTATTTTTCAATCCGAATGTGTTTCCCATTTATGTCCACATGTTTAAAAAGTCTGCATAAAATGAATTTGACAATTTGTTTTTTCTTTAGTGTTTTTTTGACTGTTGCTTGTTTTGTTTTGTTTTTTGACCTCCTTGACTTCTTTTTTTGTGAGGAGGACTAGCCCTGAGCTAACATCCGATGCCAATCCTCCCCTTTTTTCTTGAGGAAGATTGGCCCTGAGCTAACATCCATGTCCATCTTCCTCTACTTTATATGGGATGCCGCCACAGCATGGCTTGACAAGCAGTGCGTTGGTGTGTGCCCAGGATCCGGGCCTGGGAACCCCGGGCCGCCGAAGTGGAGCACGCGCACTTAACCGCTTGCGCCACCGGGCCGGCCCCAACCTCCTTGACTTTTTATGTGATCTTTCTCAAAAACAGTTTCAATCGGTCTTATTTTTCATAGGACGAGTTCTGCAGGTTTACTGCCCAAGGCAATTACACTTAAGTCCCAGAATTACTAGGATGATTTTTTTTGTAAGTTTAGCTGTTTTTAGGTCAAGTAATTATTTTCTAATATATTTCTTGTTAACACAAAAATGTCTAGATGCCTCTTTGGTGCTGTACTTCTTAGCTGGTGGGCAGGAAAGGAGAGTGACCGCTGACGGGGTCTTCTGAGGGGGTAATGAAAACGACTGTGGTGGGTAGTGGTTAGTGACTATACTAACACCCATGTGATTGTACATTTTAACTAAGTGAACTGTACAGTATATGAACTGTATCTCAATAAAGCTATCAGGTTAGAAAACCTCACCCCTTTGTTCTTGTCACACAGGGTACAATAGCGAACTCGCTGACATGTGTCCAGCTGCATAAGCGAGCCGAGAAGATAGCTGTGATGCTAATGGAGAGAGGGCGCCTGCAAGACGGGGATCATGTGGCTCTCGTCTACCCGCCAGGTGAAAGGCAGATTGGGGTTTGCTCCAGACGGGGACCACGTGGCTCTCGTCGTCCCGCCAGGGGAAAGGCAGATTGGGGTTTGCTCCAGACAGGGACCACGTGGCTCTCATCTACCCGTCAGGGGAAAGGCAGGACTGGGTTTGCTTCCAAGATGGCAGGGCCAGCAGCTGTGTGAGAGGCGCTTTAGTGCACGTCAGTGCTGATGACCGGAGTTGCTGTGTTATCACCAAAAATTGACACTGTTCTACCTGGCTCACTATGTCTAGTTACTACCACTTGTAGGAACTGTGCTCCATGCTGTATGACTTTTAGGAGCATAAATAAAATGATCTTTCACAAAGACTTCTATATCTAAATTTGTTTTGTTAGACATCTGAGGTAGTTCGTTCAGTCAATAGTACTTAAATCTCTAACTACTAAATTGATAATCATAGAGTTGAGTAACTCCTTAGAGAAATGACAGAAATTAAACTTCTGGGCTGCTCTGGCATCTTGTGCCTAAAAGAACAAGCCAAGTGGAAACTATCGCAGAAGCTTAACAAAACCCACAGGGACGAGAAAAGAGTCTGCTAAAGGTCTTAGTTGCTCACTTATCCTTGGGACTTCTTCAGGCTCGTGTTTCTGTGCACAAGGATGAGGGCCATTAAGTGGTTTGATCTGTTTCAATGAGAACTTTTGTTGCGTTTCTCCCTGTGTAGGAATAGACCTCATTGCAGCATTTTACGGTTGCCTGTACGCAGGCTGTGTGCCAATAACTGTGCGTCCTCCACACCCACAGAACATCGCAACGACGCTGCCTACCGTGAAGATGATCGTGGAGGTAACCCTGCCTGAGGTGTCTGGGCACCTCCTCCAGCCCCAGACCTGAGTGTTGGGCTTATAGATCACAGAGCCTGGGCCTCATAGCGGGGCTGGTGGTGGGAGTGCGTGGGAGTCTGCGGTTCCCGCGGTGGATGGAGCAAGACGTGGCCTCTACCCTCAAGGAGCTTACCATCTAGTTCTGGAAACAAGATTCCACCTTGTGCCTGGAATTAGGAGCTGGAGGGAATTGAAGGTTCCCTAAAGAAAGCAGCTCCCAGGGAGGGCGTCTCAGGGACGCTGGGAGCTTCCCCACCAAACCCAGCTGAGCAAACCGAACCAAGCGAAAAGGTCGTATATTTTTTTAAAGTTCTTTCCTCAAGATTTACAAGTATCCTGTTCCTTTTTGAAAGTATAGATTTGATTTTATTTTTTATGCCTGGGAAAATTGCAGAGGATTAGGATATGTTTTCCCACCTGGAACAGGAACCACAAGGGACAAGTTAGTTTGGGGACACCACAAGCGAATACTTTCTGTGGTTATGTTGGAGTGCTTTCATGGTCATTACTCCTGTTAGAACACACGGATGGTGTGTGGATGTACGTGGCATTTCTAGGACAGAGTTAACGGCGAGAGCAGTCAGTTTGGATGTTCCTTTCTGACTGTGATCATAACACTGCGGATACTACTTGGCTCTAGAAATTTCCGGGAACCTCAGTTCCCACGAGCTCTGCGTGTGTGCTTCCGTGGTCAGGTTCCTGGTGCTCTTGTCCCTCCACTGGCCAGGACTGGTCCTCTGAGGCAGCGGGGTTCCTGGTAGTCTAACCTGCTCTGAAGGCCACATGGCCTCAACGTGCATCATGAGCAGCAGGCATGTGTGCAGGGCGTATTCCTCTGAGGTTTACCTTCCTTCCTCCATTCTTTGTTCTCTGACCCCCAGGTGAGTCGCTCTGCCTGTTTGATGACAACACAACTGATCTGTAAGTTGTTACGGTCCAGGGAGGCAGCTGCGGCCGTGGATGTCAGGGCATGGCCCCCCATACTGGACACAGGTCAGTCCTCCGACCATCTGGGTACCTTTGTTTGCTTGTCTGCTTTTCCATCAGGTCAGATAGGCTAATAGCTTTGTTTTGCTCTCCAGATGATTTGCCAAAGAAGCGGCCTGCCCAGATCTACAAACCCTCCAACCCAGACACACTAGCTTATCTTGATTTTAGTGTGTCCACGACTGGGATGCTAGCTGGAGTAAAGGTGAGAAGTGCATCTGCGTGGTGTCTGGCTGGTGAGCCATGCACGTCCTTACGTCGGTTGTCATGCTACGTGCCTTACGTATAGTAGGACTCTGGTGGGAACTTCAGTGAAGCACGGAGAGAGGTGTATATACGCGTTTCGTTCACGCTGTAAGATACGTGACTGTTTCAGTAGTTGACGTGGCCGACTGATTCTTTCCAGTGTTGCAACTATTTCTTTATATGAACACAGCCTCACTGGCCCTAATAAAAACTGCATGTATTTTTCTTTTTCACTTATTCTCAAGTTTCAATATTCTGTCTACTGCAAAACTCTGTGCCCTGTAGTTTCTTGCTTTTTTAACTTGGGGTCCATTATAACTTGCCAAATTGCTGCTCATTGCACTGACAATGATCCTTTTTGCTGTCAAAAAAGAATGGAACTACTACGTATGTCCCAGAATTAGGACCCTCCCGCTCAGGTGATGTCCTTGTTAAATTCTCTTGTAGCCTCAGGAAGCCCTTTTCCTATTATCTGACTCTGGGGTCTGACTGCTGAGTTTGCAGAATTTACCTCATTTAGGTCTCTTATGCTATCTACTTTTTTTTCCATTTTTTTTATTGTAGTAAAACACATAACATAAACTCACTGTCTTGACCAATTTAAGTGTACAGTTCAGTGGTATTAAATGCATTCAAAATGTTGTGCTGCCATCACTACCATCCATCTCCATAGTTCTTTTCATCTTGTAAAACTGAAACTCTGTCCCTATTAAACACTAACTCCTTCCCCACTCCCCCAACCCTGGCAACCACATTCTGCTTTCTGTCTCTAGGAATTTGACTGCTGTAGGTACCACATATAAGTGGAATCATACAGTGTTTGTCTTCTCGTGTCTGGCTTGTTTCACTTAGCATAATGTCTTTAAGGATCATCCATGTTGAAACAGATGTCAGAATTCCTTTTGAAGGCTGAGTTACTATTCCACTATATGTATGTACCACATTTTCCTTATCTGCTCACCTGTTGATGGACACCTGGGTAGCTTCCATGTTTTAGCTATTGTGAATAGTGCTGCTATGAACACAGGTGTACAAATATCTCTTCGAGATACTACTTTCAGTTCTTTTGAGTATATCACCAGAGTGTAATTGTTGGGTCACGTGACAATTCTATTTTTAATTTTTTGAGGAACCACCATGTTGTTTTCCACAGCAGCTGTACCATTTTATCTTCTCACCGACAGTGTACAAAGGTTCCAGATTCTCTACATCCTCACCAATATTTGTAGTTTTCTGGGGTTTTTTTAATAGTAGCCATCCCCATGGGTGTGAGATGGTATACCATTGTAGTTTTGATTTGCATTTCCCTAATGATTAGTGATTTGAGCATCTTTTCATGCAATTATTGGCCACTTGTATATCTTTGGAGAAATACCGTTTCTAGTGTTTTGCCCATTTTTGAATCAGTTATTTTTTTGTTATTGAGTTTTAGAACTTCTCTGTATATTCTGCATATTAATCCCTTATCAGATATATGATTTGAAAATATTTTCTCCCATTCTTTGGGTTGCCTTTTTAGTCTGTGGATGGTGTCTTTTGATGCACAAAATTTTTTTATTTTCATGAAGTCCAATTTTGTCTCTTTTTTTTTTTTTTTGCCTGTGCCTGTGGTATCATATCCAAGAAATCATTGCCAAATTCAATGAAGTAAAGCTTTTGTCCTGTGTTTTCTTCTAAAAGTTTTATTGTTTTAGGTCTTACATTTTGAGTTAATTTTTGTTTGTGGTGTTAGGTAAGGGTCTAACTTCATTCCTTTGCATGTGGATATCCAGTTTTCCCAGTACCATTTGTTGAAAAGACTTGTCCTTTCCCCATTAAATGGTTTTGGCACCCTTGTCAAAAATCATTTGATCTCGTATGTGAGGGTTTATTTCTGGACTTTCTATTCTATTCCATTGATCTATATGCCTGTCTTTATGCCAATACCACACTGTTTTGATTACTGTAGCTTTGTAGTAGGTTTTGAGATTGGGAAGTGTGAGTCTTCTAGCTTTGTTCTTTTTCAAGATTATTTTGGCTATTCAGGTTTCCTTGAGATTCCATATAAATTTTATGATGGGTTTTTATATTTCTGCAAAAAAATCATTAAGATTTTGATAGTGATTGCATTGCGTTTTTATCGTTTTAGGTAGTATTGACATCTATGAATATGGGATATGTTTTCATTTATTTATGTCTCCTTTAATTTCTTTCAGCAGTGTTTTACAGTTTTCATTGTACAAGTCTTTCACCTCCTTCGTCAAGTTAATTCCTAAGTATTTTAATCTTTTTTATGCTATCGTAAATGGAATTGTTTTAATTTCCTTTTCAGATTTTTCATTTAGTGTATAGAAATGCACACAAAATGATTTTTGTGTGTTGATTTTTTATCCTGCTACTTTGCTGAATTCATTTATGATTTCTAACAATTTTTTTGTGGAATCTTTATGGTTTTCTACATATAAGATCATGTCATCTGTGAACAGAGATCATTTTACTTCTTTCTTTCCAATCCAGATGCCTTTTATTTATTTTTCTTACCTAATTGCTCTGGCTAGAACTTCCAGTATTATGTTTAATAGAACTGATGAATGCAGGCATCCCTGCCTTTTTCCTGATCTTAGAGGAAAACTATCAGTCTTTCACCATTGAGTGTGATGCTCACTGTGGGTTTGTCATATGTCGCCTTTTTTATTTGTTATGTTAAGACACTTCCTTCTTTTCCTAGTCTATTGAATGTTTTTATCATAAAAGGATGTTGAATTTTGTCAGATGCTTTTTCTGCGTCAATCAAGATGATCCTTTGCATTTTTTTCTTCATTCTCTTAAGGTATTACATTGATTGATTTTCTTATGTTGAGCCATCCTTGCATTCCAGGCATAAATCCCACTTGGTCATGGTGTATAAGCCTTTTAATAGTCTACTGAATTGGGTTTGCTAGTATTTTGTTGAGGGTTTTTGCATCAGTGTTCAGAAGGGATATTGGTCTGTAGTCTTCTGTTCTTGTAGTGTCTTTGTCTGGCTTGGTATCAGGGTTATACTGACCTCATAGAATGAGTTAGTTCTCTCCTCTTCAATTTTTGGAAAAATTTAAGAAGGAATAGTGTTAGTACATCTTTAAATGTCTGGTAGAATTCAGCAGTGAAGCCATCAGGTCCAGGGCTTTTCTTTATCAGGAATTTTTTTTTAACTGATTTTGATCTTCTTACTAGTTATAGGTTTATCCAGAGTTTCTATTCTTCATGATTTAGTCTTGGTAGGTTTTGTGTTCCTTCTTGATAGTTTGTGTTTCAAATTCCATAAAATGGAATTTCCCTATTTCATGTAAGTTGTGCAGTTTGTTGGTGTACAATTGTTCATAGTATTCTCTTATAATTATTTTAATTTTTGTAGAATCAGTAGTAAATTTCCCCATTTTAATGTCTGATTTTAGTAATTTGAGTCTTCTCTCTTTTTTGCTTAGTTCATCTAGCTAGAGGTTTGTCAATTTTGTTGATCTTTTCAAAGAACCAACTTTGGGTTTCATTGATTATCTCTACTATTTTCTATTCTCTACTGGTATTTGTTTGTCTCTGCTCTAATCTTTATTTTGTTCCTTCTGCTAGTTTTGGGTTTAGTCTAGTCTTTTTCTCATTCATTAAGTTGTAAAGTTAGGTTGTTGATGTGAGAGATTTCTTGTTTTTTTAATGTAACCATATATAGCTATACATTTTTGCCTTAACATTGCTTTTGCTGTATCCCATAAGTTTTGGTATGTTGTGTTTTCATTTTCATTTGTGTCTAAATATTTTCTGATTTTTCTTGTGATTTCTTCTTTGATTCATTGGTTGTTTAAGAATGCATTGTTTAAATTCCACAAATTTGTGGGTTTTCTAGTTTTACTTCTGTTACCAATTTCTGATTTCATCCTGTTGTGGTTCGAGAAGATGGTTTGTATGATATCTGTCTTTTTAAATCTATTGAGACTTAATTTCTGACCTAAAACTTGGGCTATTCTGGAAAATAGCCCAAGTGCTCTTGAGAAGAATGTGTTTTCTATTGTGGTTGGATTGTGTTCTGTATGTCTCTTAGATCTCTTTGGTTTTTTGTGTTTTTAAGTCCTCTATTTCCTTACTTATCTAATGTCTGCTTGTTCTATCCATTATTGAAAGTGAGGTATTGAGGGCCGGCTCCGTGGCTTAGTGGTTAAGTGCACACACTCCGCTGCTGGCGGCCCGGGTTTGGATCCCGGGTGCGCACCGACGCACCGCTTCTCCGGCCATGCTGAGGCCGCATCCCACATACAGCAACTGGAAGGATGTGCAACTATAACATACAACTATCTACTGGGGCTTTGGGGGGAAAAAATAAATAAATAAAAATCTGTAAAAAAAAAAAAAAAGAAAATGAGGTATTGAAGTCTTCTACTATTATTGTAGAGCTGTCTGTTTCTCCCTTCAGTTCTGTCAATTTTTGTCTCATATATTTTGATGGTTTGTTATTAGGTGTGTAGTACTAGTTTTTAGACTAATAATTGTTTTGTTTTAATGTATTAGTATCTTAAATCATGTAGAAAACAAAAAGTAGAGTTACAAACTGTTGTTACAATTATACTAGTTTTTATAATTGCCTTGTTTTTACCTACTGAGATCTTTGTTTCTTCAAATGACTTTGAATTATATCTAGTGTCCTTCTGTTTCAACATGTGGGACTCTCTTGAGCATTTCTTTCATGGCAGGTCTAAATGTAATGAACTCCCACAACTTTTTTTCACCTGAGAATGTCTTAATTTCTCCAAAATTAATTGCAATTTATTGTCCAAGCCTTTCCCTGGAAGTTGCAAGCCTTCAACAGAGCCCAGAGTTCCAAAATAGTCACTTCTGATTCTGCCAGTGCAGTGTTGTCCAGGAGAGAGACAGATTCCTGTTGCTTCTTGCTCCACCATCTTACTAGGATTCTCTCCTCTGCTTTTCAGTAGAATTGGAGATGATGCACCAAAAAAAGACAATATAAAATAAAATAATTCTTCAAATATTTTAAAAATAAAGATGTATTTTCAGACCAAGATGAATTACTCTCTATAGTACTGAAATTAGCTTTGAGCCTCCTACTGTTTTAGTTGAAAGAGAAACACACATTGATCATACCAATTTCATTTTCATGGTCTGCAGAAGTGGGAGCTATAATATTAAATCTTGAGTCAATAAAGATATTTCTACTTGAAACAGAGATAAAGTAATCTATGTTATTACTTCCTATTGATTCCACTTAATGTAAGCATAGACCCTAGAAATCCCAGAGTGATAAATAACTAGACTTTCTCTCAAGTTCATAAAAGTTTTTCTTAAACTTTTCACCATTTAATTTGTTCAATGAGTACCTGAAATGAAATATATTGTGATGTCATTCAATGAAATCTTGTATGCTTTAAATACTGAGAGGCACAGATAGAGTTGAAATCACCTGGTTTATCATCTGCTCCAGACGGAAATCCCTTCTATCTCTTTGGCTGCACAGGTCACCATTTTTCTCAGAAAGAAATTTTGATTCAGTTTCAGCTTTTGGACAAAAATGTCATTGAGTGTTCAGTTACATACCAAAAGTTGAGAGAAATAATTTTATCCAGTAAACTGTTTTCCCTAAAATGGGTACTACAGAATGTCTGATTTAGTATAAAACACATGGATATGTGTTTATATGTTCAATTTAAGTTTTATAATACTGCCTGTTTAAAAGTATAGTTCGAACTCTGAAAGTTCCTAATAGATCCTGGATATACATTTGCTCAACATCAACAAGGAAGTCCTATAGAGGACCCGTATAGCATCTACAGTTTAATTGAGATTAATCACCTTGTGGGTTTCCCCGCAGGGTACTTTAAAACTCATGGTGGCTCTCCCTTCCATGGAGTATGCTTCTGGAACACTCTCCTGCTTACTTTCAGTTGATATGTGCAGCTGATGTGTGCCCAGGGAACGGACCCTTATTTTAACATCAGCCAGAGAAAACTGCCCTGGAAGGTGGACCTGCCCAAGATAAGTCACAAGATGCATCTTGAAAATAAACATAGTTAACCTCATCCCTAATTCCTCCACATTCATATATCTACTCTCAGTGTCTCTTTTAGAGTAGAGCATTAGAGTTTGTTATTTGGGGCTTTTAGGAAACGAATTCTTTGTCCAAGTACAAGTTTGTCTTCATAAGAATTGGGAGTTTTTCTTACTAGAGGTTATAAAGAAACATTCCAACTTGGGCTCTTGGTTTGTAATGTTGGCAGGGTCCAAGATTGGAATAAGCTTAGAGATTGGATATTCAACTTTCCTAGCTGCTTTTTTCTTAACCTGTTGTGTTCTTGTCACTGTGTTGAAATCTGTTATTGCTTACGCATCCTCAAGAGCCAGAACCCTCCGTGACCCCACGGGGTGATGTGAGGATCCTTTCTCTGACCTCCTTACACTCTGTACACACTTTGTCAAAGCGCTCACAGATCCTGCAGTTACCAGCGTAAGTCTCTGAATTTCCCACTAGATCACACGCTCCTGAGGGCAGAGGCTGTTTTATTCCTTTTATATCCCCAGCACCTAATACAATGCCTGATACATATTGTTCTCAATTACTATATTCGTATTTGCTGAGCTGAGCTGAAGAACTCAGTTCTCAAGCTATAAATAGTGCCTGCACTGGGCAGGAGTTCGGTAAAGGTTTATTTTAGTTGCTAATCTGAGCAGGTGAGTAATTTTGGTAGTTACGATTTTACTAACTCCTGATCCAGTTGAAGTTGAAGTTGAAGGAATGTTCCATAAATCCAGCCTTCTTTCTTCTTTAAACCAATATTATGGCTTTAAAAGCAAGTTAAAAAGAACTACTTATGTGTTAGAATCTAGAGTAATTCTGCATTACCTTGTATAAATTCAGTAGAATATCCATGATGGAACCTTCTTCTGGGGAGAACTTCTAATAGGGATCCTACTTGTCACCAATAGAAGGACCCCCATTGCTGGTTTCTCTCACATCTTTCCCTCGGGTGACTAATGAACAAGACAAGGGAGCTCTTGACTGTAACCTTGATGATGGGGAGTGTGGTTGGATTTGGCTGCCGTCAAATTACTAGCGTGTCTCACTGCACCAGGCTCTGATTCCGGCTCAAATATGTGTGACCTTCAGCAAACTCTTTATCTCCTCAGAGCCTCATTTCCTACTCATCGAGGTGGAGGTTGTTCATCCAGCGTGCACTGCTAGCCCCCTGTTGCACAACAGCTGTGGTCTTGGGCGTTGAGATGAAACGTGAATAAGGCATAGTCCCTGCCTGGAGAGGAGATGTGAGCAGTAATATCTCCCCACCTACTTCACAGGCTGCAGTGGGGATTGCAGTAAACCCCCGTTCGGGTTAACCTGCTATTCAAATGCAGGACATCGTTACTTCAGTTGCTAGAGTTATTAGGTCCTGTGGGACCAGGAAGTTTTGAGTGTGGTTTACTCAAACTAATGAGAAATCAGCAGCCCACTCTCTCCTAAGTCACAAAACCAGAGCTTGGCTACAATTGTCCCTGTCCTAAAATCACCTTTGGGCATTGAGTGTCAGGTCTGGTGCATTTAATGCAGCCTTGTTCTGTTACAGATGTCTTTACGATGGGTGTCATGCTCTGTGCTTTTAATGCAGCTGTGCTGTCTTGCAGATGTCTTTAGGATGGGTGTCGTGCTCTGTGCTTTTAATGCAGCTGTGCTGTCTTGCAG